GTGGACCAAAGCGATATTAGTTTTTTTATAAAGTTGTTGTGAACTTAAAAAATAAATTGTATGATCTTAATTTTCTGGCATTTTCCAAAATGTGTAACTTATTTATTTTTTCATGGCAGATTTGTATTTTTTTGGCATTGCAAATAAGTCCACTTAATAAACTGTTATTAAATATACGAGTACATTTGTTTTTGTTAAACGACTAACGTCATGAGAAAATAACACTTTCTAGTAATATCCACTTCAATTGTTGAGTAGTGTATATACAGGGTGTCAATTTGAAAACAAATAGCATTTAATATTGCCTCTAACAATGATAGTATAAAAATTTGACGAAACATGACAATTTACTTGTCAAGGAAGAAAATTGTTAAGGTATTTATTGTCGCATCACTTTTAACCCCCTGACCACCAGGGCACCTACTCCTAAAATTTTAAATGGAAACTCCTATTTTACCATTTTTGTGTTCCTTATGTAATTGTAGATAAATTGCATTATTATTTTTTTGTCAAAATTAAAGAACCTACTCTCACAAATATGTGGAATGTATTTAATATCTAAATTTTAATTGCAACTCCTTAAAATAAAAAAGTATAATATTAATATACGAAAAGCTACCACTTTATGAATTATTTAAACTGGTTTCCATTGTGTTGTAAGCACAAGTACATCCGGTATTAAAACTCTTCTCGGACGTGTTGAAGAGTCTCAGGTGTTACAATTTTTTCTTGCAATTTTTCAATTGAGTCTGGTTGGGTTTTAAATACAACGAATGCCAAGTGGCTATATAGGAAAAAGTACAGCGGTGTCAGATAAGGTGATATAGTTGGTCATTCTATGAGTCCTGTTCTACCAATCCACTGCTCCGGATAATGAATATCTAATCACTTTCTTACTGGGCGTACATAATGAAACGGTGCTTTTCCCCATTGGAAGTGCAGAAAATGTTCATCTGGAGCAAGATTTCCAGTGGCGTCCCTTTGATTTTATATGTCATGAATTAAACGAGGTTCTATAGCTCTGTCTAACAATTCGGCTTAAATTTGACCATTTAGATTTTCTATTTTGCCTAATTTACCCGCCCAATCATTTATTTTTTTAAGGATATTACGTATGCCCCTCTCTAGTAATGCGTGAATTGAAGTCGCTCCAATAACAGCAGTTTTGTTTGTTGACCTTCCATTTAAATAAAAACTTAATTCGTTACTGAGACAGATATTTTTTATAAACACGGGCTGATTAATAATGCTGTTAGTCATAATTTCGCAAAACTCAATACGACTATCATCAACCTCTAATTCTTGAGTGAATAGCAATTTGTAAAGCTTGAATACTTTTTTGACTGACTCATGCGACTGTCCAGTTTGTTGTGCAACCTCAGGCAGGATCGTAGTAGGAGCCATAGCAACTTGACCAAGAACCTCAATCTAAGCAATCTTGGCCCATCCCTTTTCTTATTGCAAACAGATCCAGTTTCTTCAAATTTGGCAACTAAATCACGGGTGTACTTGTGTCCAACATTTCTCTTCGGATGTCTTTCCTTAAATATGGCCGTCGTTCTTGCGAAGTAACGATTTTGGGCTAAGTATACAAAAATCACTTTTACGCGTTCAACAAGAGTGTAAACCATTTTAAGAAGCAGTTACAATTTGAAAACTATAGAAATTGTGTATGTATGATATAAATAACTTTCACTTCTTATTTCACTAATCGAAGAAGCACAACAAATAAACAAAATGAACACTACGAGTCAAAAAATAAAGATCTTGTAGGCTATGCCGCCCCTGCAGCTAATAAAAATTATAAAGTATCTGTCATCTATTTTAATTTCCTAACGGAAGTATACACCTACAAATTGTACCTATCACTTGTAAATAATATTAGTACTAAGCAAAACGAGAATCTTGTTCGAAGACGCACAAAAAAGTTAAATTATTTCATGTATTGTAGTGGTGAAATGTAACTCAATAAAAGAATTTGAATTGTATTAGTAATAGGAACAATAATTTTTAAATGAAGTGCTGTGAGGTAGTGAATGCAACCCGTTTTTAGAAGTTAAATTATTTAAATTCAGATAATAAATACATTTCAGACATTTGTGAAGTTAGCTTCTTAAAATTTTGACAAAACAGTAATAATGCAGTTTATCTAGAACTACGAGTACATAAGGAACACAAAAATGATAAAACAAATAGGAGTTGTCATTTAAAATTTTAGGAGTAGTTGCCCTTTGGGTCAGGGGGTTGAAAGTAATACGACAACAAATACCTCAAGAATTGTCCCCCATGATATGTAAATTGACGTATTTCGCCAAATTTTCATAATATCATTGGTAGAGGCAATATTAAATGCTGTTCGTATTTAAATTAATACCCTGTATATAAATTAACAAACTAAGTAAATAGTTTTTTTTTCTGAAATAGAAATAACTCTGGTAAGCTTTTTTAAGGTCTATTGTCAGACATCAGACTGATGCAACATTTTACTTGATCTAGAATTTATTCCAATTTCAACTTCCTTGTAGTAAATATTACTAAAGAAGTTTTTATAAAAAAAACATCCTTTATGACTTACTTGAATTATTTTGGCATATGACACTTTAAAAGTTTCAAAATTTGTATTTTTAATATAAATTTTTTCAATATCTGAGGCGAGCATTTTTAAATCATAAAACGAATTAAGGGATTCAACTGTGCTTAGCGCTTTTTGAATTAATTTGACATATTGGTCGGGCATATAAATGGAAGCAGATTTTAAACTTTTTTTTTTATTTTCCTTTTAAATATTAAGTGAACGCTATCCCCCGCATGTTTTTCGGATTTTTATTTTCCATATGGGTTCTATTATTTCTTTTCTTTTTATTGAGCTATTGTAATCATTAAAAACACCAAAAAAATTAAACTAGACGTAGTAAGCAAACAAGCAATTAAACATTATTTCAATATAAACTGTTTTTTGGAGAATATTCTTTTAAATATAAATTCTGCAACCATAGAGTGAGATAGACTCATAGTTTAGGAGCCCACTGCAAAATGTTGGGTCGATCACTAGTATGGCTAAATTTTCATGAAAACGTCTGGTAATATATTGTACAATAGTAATACGTCGGCAGCCGCTCCAATATCGTTTGCGTTTTACGTTATAAAAAATTATTAACAATTAAAAATATGTGCCATCCTCCACCCATCGCTTTTTTGCCAAATTTTCTACTTAATCGATTTCCTTTAGTAGCATAAGTTTTATTGAAAATATTATATCTAGCTTCATTGGCACTTATACAATTCCTTTCTTTATACAGTAAACATGTGAATTCTTGAACAGAGTCAACAATGTGATTGTCAAATATATTGGAAAGATCCGATAGATATCTGAAAACTTTTTGTATTTTTGAATTTTTTGAAAACTATTGAAAGGGATGACTTTGCCTTTTCCATAAAACGATGCCGAATAATCACAGCCGGTGAAAGCGTGAAACGCTGGCAAGCTATTACAAAGATTAGACCCCAAACTTGGTGCAAGATCATTGTGAATATCAAAAATTAAATGAATTTCAGAGGAAGCCGATGCGCAAACTTTGACGAGAATTTTTTCGGCAATTCTTCCAAACTCAAGTGGAACGACAGCACCCATCTGATGCAACAAATAAAAGCCATCTATTATTTCAACATCTACAAAAGGTGGCAGTGTCTGTTCTACTCGGGACATGAGTTTTTTGGCCAAAGTTGATTTCTCAGTCTTGCACATTTCGCCATCAATGTGAAATAGAGCCAAAAGAATAGGGACCAAAGGAAAACGGAAACACCGCTCCATATCAACTTTCTTTTCGATGGCAATCTTCAGAAGTCGACCAAATATATCACATTCCATTTTAGTCACAACTTGCTTTTTTCCATCAGGGGTTTTCCGTATTGTCTTTACTGAATCGTGTGTAAAGTTAAATATCTTGTTTCATTTTACACTGCTATTGAAATTCGTTGAATCGCTGGCACAAGAAGAAATTAAACTATTTTATGTATTTAATGCAGTAGATGGATTTCGCTTAAAACCTTTCATATTTGCTAGTAAAGTTATAAATTAATTAACGCATTTGTTAATAATTGCATAGCAAAAAAAGTAAATACTTACAGTTCTTTGCAAATTAATATTAGGATCAGCTCGGTATTTTGGGTTTGTTGTTGATATTTTCTTTAAGCATATCGAATGATATCCGGCATCATTTCGGTTTGGCAATAACAAATTTCCGTATTGAAAATTTTTTTCTTTTCGAAATTGCAGCACTCTGGTTATTTTTTGGAAAGTTTCGTCGCTGCATTTTAAGACGTTGCCGTCACTTTCGCAAACAAAACAACTGGCCATCGTTATAACAATTTATTATTATCACGACAAAGGGAAAACTTGCAGAAAGTTACAACTTAAACAATGACAAATGTCAAATAGACGCCAGCTGTGCGCACACTCCCAAACTTCTAAACCGCTGATTTCATACGTGATCGAATCTTGCGCGCGCACAAAATCGCGGCAGCCTAAGTTATGCAAACGCTTTCGCGCGGCAGCCGAGTATTTTCTTGTTGGAAATTTTGCTACTTTTCCAACGGTATTTTGTTTGACTATAAAAGCGATGAGTGTATAAAAGCAACATCGATATAGTACTTTTCAGCCCCATTAGCCACCCTTAATGCAAAGGATGATGGTCGGCAGCCGGGTATACAAAATTATATTTAACTACTATCCATCGATTAAATAGAAAATTAGGCAAAAAAGCAATGGGTGGAGGGTGGCACATATTTTCAATTGTTAATAATTTTTTATAACGTAAAAGGCAAACGATATTGGAGCGGCTGCCGACGGATTACTATTGTACAATATATTACCCGACGTTTTCATGAAAATTTAGCCATACTAGTGATCGACCCAACATTTTGCAGTGGGCTCCTAAACTATCACTTGCAATAAATACTAGAAAATTTTATGAATTATTGTCCTTCTGATGATAACTTACCATTGATAGATTTTCTAATGTAATCAATTTTTCCTTGAATTAAAATTATATTGCTGCAGAATAAAGCAATACAAACAAGTAACATTTCATCTGAAATAATAAAATTAGTGTTAATTATAGGTAGTCGTTATAGATCCATTTTTGGATAATATTATCAATGGTTGGAGAGAGCAATTTCTCTAGGTTTGTTATTATAAATGATAGGCTAGAACATAGCTCTCTGGTCGGTGTAGTTATTTGCTCTTGGATTTTTCTTAAAATGTAAAATGTAAGTTTGGTTAGAACTTCGCAGTTACAAAGTACATGAGTGCTTCCCTCATGTTCTTAACAGACTAATCACAAAGTCTCCCTTCTACCAGATGTGGTGGTACCGCTACAACTAATAAGTGATATAGTACTGCGCGGACTAATAGCTGAGATAGTGCGGGGTGCAGTGTTCGGGAAAGAAGAAGTCCATCGGCGACACGTGCAAAGGTCATAAAGGACGTTGCGAAATCAGTCAGGTTTCGACCGGTGGCCGAACCATATCGATATAATTACAAGTATTAGAAATTAAAAATTAAAAAAACCGACTTCAAAAACGTGCAGATGCCATCATCACATCTTAACCAAATTTATATTTGACCACCCCTGAGGTACCCCCTTACTAACAAAAAAGGAATCATATAAATCGGACAAGGTGGTAAAGCATTATCGCTAAACATACATAAAAAATTAAGAGTTTGAGGATTTTCTCATAGACCCAATTATTAGATTTTGACTAAATTTATATGGGACCACCCCTGAAGTACCCCCTTTCTAACAAAAAAAGAATCATTGAAAAGAATAATCGCTGAACATACATAAAAAAAAATATCGCGACGAATTGATTTGAAGTCGGTTAAAAAAAGGGTTGTTAGCCGACGTTTATGTTGCCGGCTAACATCATTGTGATTTTGTTCCATTTTGTTGCCTGATCGGCATTGTATTTTAATTGAATAGTGCTATTAGTTATTATATCCCCAAAACCGAACCCCGTCTGAGCTAGCCATTGCACAGATCGATGTTAAGACCTTTTACAATATGTTTAACACGTTAATCGTGAAAACACGTTAATGGCTAAGAAATGTCCACCACGTCAAAGTGAAAAATGCAGGCTCTTTGACTTAAGAAATAGTAAAAGAGTAATATAATAGCAACAAACATGCATGTTTCGATATTTTAGATGTGTTAACTTTTATTTTTAGACAGAAAAGTCATATTTTCATTTGATTATGTATGACCCTTGACCTAGATTGAAATAAAAAATTACAAATTCGTGATTTGTCTTTAAACAGAAGTTACCGGCAAGTGATTATAGGTCAATAAAAACTATTGTAGCATAATCTGTGACTGATTTATTGCACTATTTTCCCAAATATTATTTAAAACCGGTAGTATTATGTACGAGTATTAAACCACCCAAACAAAAAGGCTCAACAAAGTACCATATTACATAATGAAGAAATTAAATTAAACGTAACAGATGAACAAGAATATAGAACAATGACAGCAGATCTGTCAAACCAATGACATTCATATGAGATAAAACAAACGACCGGTAAATGTGATGACTATTTACGGACGCTAGGCGTAAAAACAAGTAAAATGTGTTAATTATTAAAAATATTAGTTACCCATCAGTAATATAACCCACGAAGAGCTCTTTGTGACAAGTCTCCTGATTCACATACAGTGCTTCAGCGAGTCTGTGGCGCTATGAATGTAATTCCCGAATAGGGGTTGCTCAGGCGCCAGTTTTGATATCGCAGTTTGCTCTGCGGCCCTGGGGTGCACGTAGAGTACACCCTCAGTAGACTCAGTGGAGTCCAGGTACAAACAAAAAAATAAAACGGATAGACCTTCACTGTTAAGTTGACCTATACTGGGGTAGTAAAGTAAATAAAGTTTTTCACTGCACTTTTACCTATTAATCACTACGCCCTGAAAACGGAAAAAGCAAAGGTGTAATTCAAAATTAAACTCAGGAATTTCAATCAAAAATATATTTACAAAATAAATGAAATAAATAATAATTAAAAATAAAATAAACGGGGTGAAATCGGTATATATATATATATCTGTTTAATAACGGTAATAAAATAAATGCAGAATTATGTATGTTGATAAAATAAAAGGTTTCGGTATTTACAGAAAATGCTATAACGGCTATACCCATAAGAAAATAAAAATAACAATTTTCCCTTTAAAAAAAAATTAAAACGGTGGGCACTAACACCCTTAGCACAAATTCCTTGCTATTAATGAAAACGGCCGGTTTTAGCCATAAGAAAAAAATCTACAATAGTAAAACTAAATATGATTCAAACTATACGTTTTAAAAATAAAAATAAATTAATAAGCTACTCTCAGTAATAAAAATATCGGTAATCTGCCAACGGTGGTGAACAGTATCAACCTCCACTCATGAGAGAAAAAAAAATGACGGATGCCTTTGTAAGAACGACGCCTAATATCCTCCTTGCAATATTATTTTACTAGGCACAATAGACCAAATAACGGTCGTCTTAAAGCGGTATTATTCGACCAATACTTTGAAAATTTTTATTTTATTTATTCGGTTTCAAATTTCTCTTATGTAGACATCTGGCAATCCATAGCTTCTACAAAACAGAAACAACTGCGACTCTCGACAGGGATAGCAAGCGAATACCACTATCATCCCTTGGTTAACACGAAAATGGTTGAAGGGCACTAACGCCCCGGATTTAAATACAATTCGTTACCCTGACAGGTACTAAGAAATCAAAAATATCGGTCGAATAACTCAGGTAATTAATAGTACGGAAGTGAATGTTACAGAGAGAATTATTAGACGGAATTTTAAATAAAAAAGGCCTACCTTAATTAACTTCTTCACAAAAATCGCTTTACGGTAAAAACGGCACTTCAGCAAAACAACTTTTATTACTAGCGAACTGACGGCGTAGCAGAAGGAAAAGAGAGCTCCTTCATCGCAAACATTTAGTTTTATCAGAATTCGTACTTTTGCCGGAGTGGGGCGGTAGCCCCACCTAGAGGAAATAAATTGTTATTGCAAAAAAACGTTAATTGATCAGCTTACTGATAAAATCTACTAGAATTGCAATTTTACAAGACGATTTACATTATTGTGATATCGCAAAGTTTTAAACTACGAGGGCTCTTGCAAATGTTTAAAAACGGTAATTCTACGGAAATATTAGTTACAGGGGGTCTTGCAAATGTTCATAGATGGAAATTAATTTTAGAAATTAATTTATGGAATAAATTAATGGGAATTTTAGTGACTTCGTCACATCTTGGTGAAGTGTTTTGGGTTTAATAAAAATGTACTGTGAACCAAACACCCCTTAACCTCGTTTACATTAGGTTTAGATAAAATTATGTACTAATAACATCCCCCAATATAATAGATTAAATAGTAATAAGTGATATAAAAAATAAGATAGCAAAAACTTGCGGTACACTGTGACTTCTTCCCAGTAGACGTTGATGTCTCTGCTTCGTTAGCAGCATACGAATCAATCAGCTGGTTACAAGATGTGCTAGTCAGCCCGTCACAAGAATACTGGCCCGTCACAAGAATTGATAGGCCGTCACAAGAAGTGTGTGCCCGTCACAAGAACCCTAAAGAAAACGTATAAGATAAAATACAGCGATAATTATTTATCCCTGGTTATATAAAGAAGTTAAAATTAAATAACCAGGTACCTACATAGCCTTCTCGTAAAGCGAGGTCTAGAAATAGGTAAAACTACTCAACGTTTACTAGTTAAATTAAGTTCGGCTCATTCATTTATGTAGGTAATCTTCAGACTTACAAAGTAAAAAGATAGACGGCTCGTGAAGCGAGTTCTACCCAACAATTATATTAAATAAGCAAATTACACCCTTAGATTTCAAGATACTACCCCTAATAGTCAATCTCATATACTGAAAATATATACAATGAAAAGAACATAACCTAGGGTTAGGTCTACGTAAGCATTCTAACTAAAATCAAAGCATATTTACCCCTTTTTTTTAATTCGCAAAGGAGGAACAAACTATGCACCAGATCAACTAATGCACCAGATTAGCTGGAACGGCAAATTCGTGAACGATTTATTCAGAAAGACTACATATATATGTGGAAACTGAAATAAAAGAACGAAGGTCTTACAAAAGAATAACTACGTCGTAACCGTAAATACGGCATAGAACAAAACTCACCTATGAGATTCAACACGTGGTTAAATATATCCTCCTAAGAGCTCCTACAACATGTGATCACCAAAAAATACTACCAAATCCACACTGTTGTAACTTAAAACAAAAGGTTGCTTCGTAATATCCCAAATGGATTCAAACGACTTCCAATAAATTTCGAAAACAGTACCTTTAAAACTCACGTGCCGAAGCTGAACCTCGTGTCGAATGTCAATCTCGAAAATTTCCAGAAGGCGGAAACCAACGTCACTTCAAAAAAAAAACAGTAATACCAACACCTCTAAAACCAAATAAATAGCCTAACTAAACTCAAATAGAGGTCCTATCTACCCCAAACTGATCATATACTCACAATTAACGTCAGAGCGGAAACGCTAAACCGACATCTTGAATACAAGGCAGCCACATGCTCACTCAGAGTGTCACAGAATGACCGCTCTGTTCGAATATTGACCCCAAAAGCACAGTGGTTAAAATGCGGGTATAGAAGGACTCATTAAATAATTACTGAACACGGAATATTCCTATTTTAATGAAAAACCGCTATAAGGCCAAATTTAAACGTTACAAAATATAATCTAGGGCTCGGGATTGACAACCACCAAAGGTAGGGAATTGTATTTATATGCAAGTGAAATTGGGTGTGACTACCAGTCAACAGGAAAACCATCATATTGGCCAACCGACAAAAATATAATACCTGACTTACTGGACTTGTAAATCACTAGAAAAATACCCGAAAACTTTATTAAAATAGAACAAAACTTTGACTTAGGCTCAGATCATTCCCCGGTGATAATGATACTAAGAGAAAATATAATCTTAAAAGAAATTAGACCCATATTGTGTATAAAAAAGACAGA